AAAGTCTCTGTGTGTTTACATGGGTGTTGGGAAGAAAGCTTTATCCGCAGCAAATTCCAGTCCAGTCTTATGCAATGTATTACGCAAACTTGCCTGGGACCTGCCTAGAATCGTTGTCATGTGGGGTCGTGACTCTGAACACTGTAAGCTAGTTGTCTTCAGAGTTTACTATTTCCCCTTGAATTTGTCAAATTCTCTAAACAATACTCACTCCAGAGTTCAGGATTCCATTCAAAACAAGCAGCATTGGCAAGAGTGGTTGCTACCAGAGAGAGTTCTCCTGGCTGTATGTCTGCGTGGGTGAACGGGAAGATATAGTGCTCATTTGTACCTGCGTCTCCAAGCGTCCCTTGGAATGAAAGTCACTAAGCCATCAGTGGCCAGTGCCATTGATTAACTTGTGTCTACTACACCTGGAGAAAAATAGGCACTGCCAGCACCGCCATCTTCCTGCTTAAGGAACAGTTCAGGATCGAGTCTCGGCACAGGATGTAGGCTGTTTCATGTCTCAGTGAAGAAGCTCCCTGGCCCACAAAATTGTCCTTCACTTGGCGTGAGTGTGAAATGAACTAGATTGAACAGAGCATTGGCCGTGACTTACAAATGCAGAGTCCAACTCAAGGTGTGTGCAGATCAGAAGGAAACTGGTATTGCGCATGTTTTCAGTTGCTGAATGCCCAAATGGTCATGAAAGAAAGAGTTTTGTCCATCTTTTGCTTTCTGGGCACAGCAGTGCCAACAAATTGGCTTTACTGTGCTCCTGCGAAAGCTCAGTTTATGCCCTGACTGGCAGTTTAGGTTCCAACTTTTGGGGCTAGAGAATTGTTTAGCAGGTTATTGTGATTGAGACCAACATTTCCTCTTCTTGTACATTTTCTTCACTTCCTGTTGTCCCTACTTCCTCCTTAGCTACTCTGTCACAGACATAGACAAGAATGACCTGAGAAACGAATTTTCTGTAAGATGATGATAACATATGTTATCACTGTTAAGAATATTTCAGTTTTTTGAAATGTATTTTTTATCATTTGTTTTGAACACTTCATTCCTGTATACAATGTATCTTGATCATATCTCCCCTCCACTCCCCCCAAAGTAGGACTGCAAGAAAGAAAATTAAGAAAAGATTTGCTTTTGGTTTATGTGTAGGAATGTTTGTTTGCATGTAGATATGTGAATTGTGTGGCTGCTGTCATTGGAGGCCAGAAGAGGGTGCTGGATTCCCTGGAGCTGAAGTTACATAGGTGTTTGTGAGCTGCCATGTGGTTGTTGGGAATTGAACCTGGGTCCTCTGAGAGCAGCAAGTGCTCGCAGCAGCTGAGCCATCTCTCCAGGCCCCCAGAATACTCCTGACAACAATAGAATAGTCTTCATCATGAATTTCCAGGCCATTGTGATGTCAGGGGAGAAGAATACTTACTTGGCAGTTAAGAGGCATGTGGGGGAAAAATGAGAACCAAGATTAGAGGAGCAACTGTATTTCTGGAATTCAATTGCTTGAATTGGCCAAAGGGTTGTTAATTAACCTGACTGTTGTCCTGTAACGAGGCAGGGTGCTGGCGAAGATGCCTTCGTTCTCACCAGAGCTCCTTCTATCCCACCGACCTCCCTGCTACTGCAGGGATAGAATTTCTCGACACGGCTAAGTACTACTGAAATCACCAACTAGGGTCTTCTTTTGTTCATTTTAGCAAATTTATGTTGTTTTATGTTAGAAATGTTTCTGTACCTCACTTTTTTTTTTTTAGAAGAAAACATATGTGCTTAAATTTAAACTTATTCTCATTTGTAGGTGATATGACTCCAGCCACACAGTGGTGACTGGCATTTCGGGGTTTCAGGGCCATCTATGTGCAGACAAACATTCAGGAAAAATACTTAGCTGCCCCGAGAACCTTAAAAGGCCCTGTGTGACCTTCGTGCGGCATGGTTGGTTGTAGAAGGCCGCAGCCACATTCTCCATCATCAAGATGGCGCTGACATCCGGCTTCACCACCAGGTGAACGCACACGTGTTGGTATTTTTCCACTACTGTCCCCGCCTATTCCCGAGGCATTTACCTGGGATTATGGATAATTGACCAATCCAAGAGTGACATGTCCGAAGCAGGGTCTGTTTCCTATATAAGGGATGGGTTTTATCTTATCTGGGTCTCCACCATGTTGGCTGATGTTCGCTCTCCCAAGGGGCATTAAAGCTATTTCTGCAGTAGGATCCTGTGTCCCGCGTGGTTCTTGCAGGCGAGGCCGAGCGCAAGACATCTGGTGCTGAAACCCGGGAAAAAGAAAAACTTTACACCGCCGGAGACCAGGAGGATTTCAGAACTGCAGGCATGCATGCTCAGAGAGGTACGCTCTAAAGTCCAGAGAGCGTATCAAAAACTGAGCAGCAATGAAAGGTTGTGCACGCACACCCAGATAAGTTAAAAAGGACCCCCCAGTGATTCTAAGAAAGTAAAAATGGGGGAGAAGGCTGATTTACAAGGTCAAAAGCTTTATGTTATGTTATGTGTGTTGTCTTTTGTGTACTGGATAGGAGAAAGATATTTAAATTTAGGAACTGCTAAGGATATGATGTTTTGGAAAAGAGGTTCTGTTTTCGTCTCCACAGAAAAGGAGAGCCTAAAGGTGTACTTGGGATTTATGTGGTTTGAATCACCGAGACCTCCTGAAATGTTGTAGTGTATACCCCTAAAATGCAATGGTCCAATTCAGCAGGAAGCAGCCAGAGAGACTAACGGCGCCCAAATTCCCTAAAAGATTAAATGAGGTCCTTTCAATGGTTGCAGAGCAGCAAACCTGCTTCTCTGAGTTCTGCTTTGCTCTGTACACCGGTTTGGGCTCGGAGTGGGTGCAGCTGCGGCTGGATCAGAGCTTTGCTCGGTGGCTATGGTGGGGGGCACGTTGCGCCGGCTCAATTGGTGCGGCTCAGTTGGTGCCTGGCCTGGAGGATATCACAGCAGTACCGAGAATGAGAGCGATGCCACAAGCAGCCAGGCCAGAAGGCTTGCAATGTACCTAAAACTGTGAGGGTCTCTGAGGCTAAAATGGCTCTGGTTCCATTTGGCTATGCTAAACGATGCTAACTTCAGGCAGGACTGGTCATAATTATCATAATAAAAGCGCAATTAAGGTTTAGCCGCAGTAAACAGGCAGTACCGTATTACATCTACATAGTGCGACTTAAGTTTTTAAGAACTGCTTAGCATTTTAAGAACTCAAGTCCTCCTAAAAGATTGCTGTATATACACTTGGCTTGTCTGGTGTTTCGGGATCCACAGGGAGGTGGATGCGAAGGGCCCTTTGATTTCGGGGTGATTGGGTCGTTGGCTGGATCTGTGAGAGTTTACAGCCGCTTTTGCTGTGGCACAGATGTTGAGAGTTTGCTAGTAGGGAAGCGGCCCTGTTCGCCGCCTCTCCCATCAGCCCCTTGAGCCGCAGCGGCTCTGGCGCGGACCTTGAGATGGTTGCCGGCCTATGCCACCTCGGTCTGGGTGTCGGCTCCCGCCACACTCCCCCACCAACACAGCCGTGGAGGACTGGGTTGGCCCCGCGGGGAAGGTGGGGGCGCCTGGGGGTGGAGCCGCCACTTCCTGGCCTGGGACCCGCGGACCCGCGCAGCGAGCTGGCCCAGGGCTGCGCACAGCCCTTGGATGGCGGGCGGGCTCTGGAACCCGAGGCCACCGTACCCAGCAAGGAATACGGGAGGCAATAAATCTTAAACCTAGTATCAACAAACAGGGCCTGGGTTTTTCCTAGGCGCCACTGGGGCAGCACAGCCTATATCATAAAAAACAAAGACCCTCAATCAGTTATCTACCACAATGGCTACAGCCCTGGATCAGCAGGCTACCATAGATACATATATTAGAGGTGGAATAATGGTTCTTAATTAAAAAATTGACCTAATGCAAAAACAGGTGGATAGCTTATGGCAGCTTGCCCAATTGGGCTATGAATAAAAAACTCCAGCCTTATGTATGACCAATGTACCATATGAGAACTTTATAAAAATGGCTAACTTGTCCTGAAAATTGTCTTTGTATCTTGCAGGAGAATTTTGATGATTTGCTGTCCTCCTTGAGATGGTCCATCGTGACAATCAACTCCACGCGAGTGGACATAAGCCTGGCCAAAGGATTCCAGTCCTGGGTCGTGTCCTTCATCCCCTACTTCAAAGAATGGGTGGGGGTGGAAATGTTTTGGAACGGTCCTACGCTATGGAATAATGTTTCTCCTCTGGATGGTCTGCTGACTCAAATCCCAAAGTCTTAGGGACAAAGTGGTTTTTACACAGCGCTGGCTGCTCTAGAACAGGGAGCCTCTACTGATATATGGTTATCTATGTTAAAGCAGTAAGGTTTAAGCCAACCAGCTCCTGCACCCCTAGGACTGTGGTCCATGGCACAGGGTGGAGTGCTTGGCTTAGCTAGCCCTGAAGGTTGTCGAGCTAAAGAACATCGCACAGAGAATGGCCCTCTCTGAGAGATAAGTCGCCCTGCATAAGGGTTTCCTGCCATATATTCCCTTTCCCAGAAAAATGGCAGAGGGCAGGCCGGATAAGTTCCAGGTGTCATGAGCCTAGGGGCAGATTCCATGTAAGCCCATTTTAATGTTTCTATTTTGGAAAATGCGACCTCTATCTTTACCTTCTGAGGGAGTTGCCTTTCTGCAAAGAAGTAAAATTAGGGGGAGATGTAGAAGGCCGCACCCACATTCTCCATCATCAAGATGGCGCTGACATCTGGCTTCACCGCCAGGTGAACGCACATGTGTTGGTATTTTTCCACTACTGTCCCCGCCTACTCCCGAGGCATTCATCTGGGATTATGGACAATTGACCAATCCAAGAGTGACACGTCCGAAGCAGGGTCTGTTTCCTATATAAGGGATGGGTTCCATCTTATCTGGGTCTCCGCCATGTTGGCTGATGCTCGCTCTCCCAAGGGGCATTAAAGCTATTTCTGCAGTAGGACCCTGTGTCCCGCGTGGTTCTTGCAGACAAGGCCGAGCGCAAGACAGTTGGTCACCTACATATGACACAGAAATGTAAGCCCTTGTGTGGACACCACCCCCACCATGAGCTATGCAGCTTTTAAAAGTGGGGGCTGTCAGCAGGGCGGTGCTGGCACACACCTTTAATCCCAGCACTCGGGAGGCAGAGGCAGGCGGATCTCTGTGAGTTCGAGGCCAGCGTGGTCTACAAGAGCTAGTTCCAGGACAGGCTTGCCATCTTCGAGCTCTTTTTCTCCACACTGACTTCCCCAGGGCTGTACTTGTGTCTCTAGTAAACTCTTAAGTGGGTTTGTTGTGTGCTTTGTTCTCACTGTGCCAGATAATTTCAGTAGGCAGCAATGAAGCACAGATTTGTATAATAAACAAGGTAACTGCATCTGCACCTTCAAGCAGTTACCACTTAGAGTTCAGATCTCTCCCTAGGCAAAAAGCATCTCCTCTACAAGGCAGGAAACGCCTGAAGGTGTTCTCCATGTTCTATCTGTTTTTATTTACCATTTGCACAAGCAGCAGCTTCTTCATGCCAGGAACCAGGCCGTGGGTGTTTGTCTTCAATTTTGCTTAGGCGAGCGAACTTTCAAAAACCAATTTCTTTGATCTCTTGGGGGAGCTCTGGGTATACACAGTACCCATTATAAAAAAAAGACTCCATATGTGCATATCTTCATTTGGTCTGTTATTTGCTCTTCATAACTTCAGTCTATGTTGGTGCACTAGGGGCTTCTCTTTCGGAGGACAGAGCTCACTGGCTCCTTCATCTACAGGAGGAAACAGCTCAGCACCGCAGCTGGAAAAAAGAAAACTTAGTCTTTATTGAGCTTTCCTTGCACAGCACAGCAATTAAAGCTCAGTAAGAGAATAAAGATTGTACAGGAAGATCAGAACTCCGGGATAAGTTCCTTCCTTCCTTCCTTCCTTCCTTCCTTCCTTCCTTCCTTCCTTCCTTCCTTCCTTCCTTCCTCCCTCCCTCCCTCCCTCCCTCC